GTGGCATTCATAAAATTGTATATTTTCCTAATGATTAAAGAATAGCATTAGTACATTTTTTTAATGGTAATGGAGGAAGATGTAAGTGAGTAACTTGGGATTAAGTTTAGTGTGGTATTGTTGATGGATGTGAACAAAGGCAGAACAACCAAAAACCCATAAAGGTTAGTTAAAAAAAGAGAGGGTGTGTGGGTAGGATTCCATAAAAACATTATAGGGAATTTGAAATTTTAAAATTCTATTAAGCATCCTATTGATGAGATATGTGATTGTAAGAATGAATTTCCCCCTAAAATATTTAACAAATGATTAAACATTAGTGGCACGAACATCCTATTTTTATTGAGAAGTATTCACACAATAACTTATATGGATAATACCAAGCTTGGAAGATGAGAACTAAGGATGAAATTAAAATATTCCTTAGCTTTATCAATTTTAAGAGTTTAAATTTTACTTTGGAATTGAGTGAGGTCCATGAAATGAAAAAAATTGAAATATAATGGTTGTTTCAAAAAAATGTCCATGTTGTTCTTTTGAGATTCCATGTTGTTCTTTTGTGATCATCTATAGATGACACAAACATCATGCCCCATTTATATTGTTTATTTGTGAGGGTCTCCGGGGTCTCCGGAAATTACTATAAATTTAAATTAAAAAAAAAAAAGGATATGAAGGCTTACATTGCAAATTAGAGTATACATGTCTGATATGTTTTACAAGTTCGCAAGTTTCACATTGATAAAGATTAGAATTTTTTAGTGATAAATAAATACGAAAACATCTTATCATGTATGTAAAATTTGGATGATCAAGACTAAAATGACTCAACATGACTTGATTTTTAACTGAAATTGCATTGACAGAATTTAAACTAGACTCAGAAATATAACTTGACGGATGACATTGCATACCGATGAAGTTATTTTCCTTGAGCTAGTATACACCGTCATGCATCTCAGTATTGTCAGTCATCTTCCTTGAATCCATAACCTGAAAAAACACAATAATTAGAACAAAATTTAGTCACATATTTAAGACCAAAACCAATTTTATTGATTGAGAGTAGGTTGCAGTTTAATTTTGAAACATAAAGACAAAATAGAGATGAAGATGATTTGTCAATTCGACTGATTTAGTTGTTGCTATTGGTGAGAATGAACTATCATCTATTCAAATTGCAGTGTCTGGTCCATTGATTGTAATTTTTAAAGACAATGATGTCTCCCATAACATGATCTGAGATTTTGGAGTCAGCTATCTAAGGTTTTAATTTATTACTTTGGACACCAAAAACATGGGATAAGATAATTTGGTATGCAAAAAAGCTGATAGGTTGCTAGGTAGAGGATTGTGATGCTCGTCCAGAATTGAAACTGTTACTGGATATTTTCTACAACACCTCAATTTACTCTCAGGTGAACTGATTGAATTCTGAATTTTTATTGATTGTGACAGCAACATTTGCTCGGTTCTTCCTATCATATCTTATATTAAATGGCTTCCAATATGCATATTTACCATGCAATTTCCAACATATTTTCTTTACATGATCAAGTTTCTTACAATGATCGGACCACGATCACCCTTTCTTGGTCTTGTTATTTTGAGAGAAACTTTAAATGTACAAGACCGATCATTCAACAGATGGTGCGGTGTGATTATTTGTCATCATCAACTTCTTTCTACTCTCCTTCCTTTGAACATCTGCAAAAGCATTTTGAGTGGTAGAGATGGGTTTAATTCTCATAATTCTCCCCTTGACTTCATCTAGGTCTTCGTTGACGGCAATGAGAAATTTGATGGTTCTTTTCTATTAAGTAATTCTTCTATACAAAAGCAAAGTCATCATGGCATTTTCAGGAATGAACCTCACATATATCTAGTTGCAGCCAAATGTGATTGTTGAAATTGAGTAACACTCAATTCTTCTTGTGGTAGATTATGTAGATTGATCTCAACCTGAAATAACTTTGAAGAGTTTTCAATGCTAGAACAAGTTTTGTATGCAACCTCTCATATGTCTTTAGTGGTCCTATAGAGCAGGAAGTTTTCTCCAACCTTAGAAGTAATGGAATATATTAATCATGACAAAACCATATGGTTGTCGGTTTTCCAGACCCCTTATTTGGAATCAGCCATTTATGAGGCTGAAATTCTCTTGTGAGATGCCCATCTTTCACTCTGTTATAGATTTATATGAAAACGAACAACAACCATTGAAGAACATTATGGTCATACAGTTTATGGTTCATGATTATGTGAGAGTTCACAGTACGATAGGGATTAAAGATGTAGGCTTGGATTAGGAGGTAACTTTCGAGAAAGAGAGTTGTAAGTTCATGGCGTGTTTGACCATAATAAGAATGCGAAGCCCAAATTGCAAAAACTTGCTGCTGTGACAAAAGCAAGAGTACCCTTAGTTTGATTCCTTGGTTGGAGGGGCAAACAAGAACTAAAGAGGACCTTAGTTTGACTGCTCAACTGGACGAGTGAACAAGAACTAGACGTGGTCGGGACGTTTGTAAGCTGGCGACTAGTCGAATTGATCGCATAGTTGAATCGATTACATTGTTGAATCTATCGCAGGGCTGAATCGATCGCTGCTTCAGTGAACCATAACGAATTGAAGAGAGAAAAATTCTAAGATTTGCTTGAACTGTTTGAGCGGGTGTTCTAGTCGGGCAGAAAAGATGAATAGAAATGAGTGTTATGTCCAAGCATAAGAGTCGGACGATGAGCATGAGACGAAGCAATGATCTCGAAGAGGAGAAGCAGCAGTTACTGATGCATATGAGAGGGCTTGTGCGTCGAACAACGGTGTCAGAGATTCTATGGATCTATCGTCGTTGACGGAGTTGAGGAATTGGTTCGAAGCTTTATTGTATGGAGCCGTCGTTGAAGATGAGGAGGATGCCTTAGCACTTTCAACCTCGACAATTTCAAAGGAGAAGAGACAAAGTTGATACCATGTAGAATTCTAGAAAGAAATTTATTTCTGATTCACTCTACTATATTACACTTTATTGCATATATATATATATATATATTGATTATAATAATAATAATAATAATAATAATAATAATAATAATAATAATAATAATAATAATAATAATAATAATAATAATAATAATAATAATAATAATAATAATAATAATAATAATAATAATAATAATAATAATAATAATAATAATAATAAGAATGAAAGAAAATAAAATAGAAATCCCTCCAAAAAGGGAAGAACAAATAAATAAGAAATATAAATAAAGAAAAAGTCATCAGTGGAACATATTCTGAGAAAAAGAAATAAATTCCTTCATAATACATATTTGCACTTTCCTACTCTTACACTTATCCTACACCATTCTAGCTAGCTTTATCGTTGTGCAACATCCAAACAGCTTAATTGGTAACACAATTAATCATCTAAATCCAACCAGACCCAAATAAATCCAACCAGACCCAAATAAAATGAAATGAAAAAAAAAAAAATCTATTAGCCAACAATTAAGTCAATTTATTAGAGTGCAATAAGAGCTTCAGCTGTCAAAGATCTTTCCAAAACTCAACATTTTCTCGTGTCTGAATAAGAGAATCATCTGTTGATGTTAGTCCATTCCCTTTGTCTTGATGTATTCCTAATTTGCCTTTATTATTCCGAATAAGTTTTGATCTCTTTAGTACGATTAAAGTCTAAAAACCTCCGCTTCTCCCTCCAATAACATTTACAAATCTCTGAAGTATAGTTCTTTGCAACCCAAAGAACTGATGCACGTGGCATGCTAGTTGATAAATGTTTGTTTAGTATTAGATATACTATAAACATGTTTTATACATGAAATAAAGGATACCGTATTTCCTACCTGCTAATCATAATATGTTCTAAGAAAGTACTTGAGCCATAAATCTACAAAATGAGTCTCCTATATAAGGAGCTATACTACAATGAATGAAAATTTTAAAAATCTGGTGGCTTCTATACCAAGGAATGTCTCCTCTCTGACTTCTATACCGATGAATGTCTCCTCCCTATGACTTCTATTGATCTCTGTCTATATTCCTTACCTACCAACTCATGAGCTGTGTTCATTTTTACAACTTTTTTACCCATTTTTCACTCTAATTCATAGATTCTCCACCTAAACTAATTTCTTTAATTCTCTATGCCTCATCTTTAACAAGGTACTATCAGAGAATTAGCTGAGTGACGTATGACAAATTAAGATTTAAAGTTTATTGCATAAATCAAGTACGAGAATTGAGATGCAAAAAGTTATGGGACAATCACAATCTGCAACCTGCAAATTCTTATCCTCAAACAATACTTTTTTGCCCTCGATGAAACGTGAGAGTATAATAGAAATCCAATACCCTTCTGAATAATAAGTAGACATTCAAATTCAAAAAGCCATGCTACTTCAAAATTTATGCACTTGTTGAAAACCAATCGCACTTCCAAACAATGAAAAATACAAAAAAAATAAATTAAAAGTAAATAATTCACCAAAAAAGTAAGCCTCTAGATAGCCCAGGAAACAGCATTTCATATACTCTTCAAGTCTCTCCCCGGATAAAGGAATTGAATCTTGAAAGTAGAAAAAATAACACATCTAACAACAAAGTAATTCAACTTGTGACCATACATCAAACACCTATTTATAAAAACACAAATTCACTTTAATCAAGATTAAAGAAAAATTGTAAGCAAAAACCACCCTCTTAACAAAAATGCGGGAGAAATAAAAAAAAACATAGAAGACTTAGTCATAACTTCATTTAATCCGAGAGGATAAGCTGCCAAAAAGCCGATTAAAGAAGGATGTTGCACACAATTTCAATAATAAGATTTAATCGTAAGCATACATGAGGAGATTTTGATGTTAAAAAATAAGTGATCTATCATGTGACAGGGACTGAGTTACCTTCCGATTGAACATGAAAAAAAAAAAAAATCAAACAAAAAAAACAGACATCTAGAATTTTCCAAAGAGAAACATACCCTTGATAAGAGCAACAGCGTGCTGTGACCGGTTGCTATAATTGGAAGAGGGCCTGCTGCCAGAGGCACTTGTGATGGAAGAAGACGGAGATGCAGTTTGAGAAGTGTTATGAACTTTCCCCCCCTCGATTTCGTAAAAGTTCTCATGAACTTTCCCATTAGCAAAAGTATGGCTCTTTTCAGATTGAACTATCTTTTGTAAGAATGGCAATTCAGAACCACCAATATCATTAGAAACAATCATGTCAGTCCCTACTTTATGCTTAATCACACCCACACTACTGGGAGCAAGTCCATCATTAGATGAAAGTATGACCAGGTCTGATGGTGAAGCATAAACACCTGAAGCAGGAACTGCTGAGGTGGATGATGAGCTCTGACCACTGCTTGGTAAGGAAACTTTTCCATCAGTTGAAGAAGACCCAACCTTACTGATAATCACAACTGAAAGTCCTTCCATTGAAGAACCAATATTGAAGCTATGCTTGTCAGATGGTAGATGCTCGGATTTGATAGGTCCATTGGGCATGCTAGACATGGAACTGAAGAGCACAATCATACAAAAAGAATAGAGAAAATTAGTAATGATTTACATCAATAAAAAAGACGTTTGTTTTCAGTTTTACTTGAAGGAAAATTTAAGGAATATATGAAGATAGTAAATGTGATGAAAAACAAAGTAACCAAACACACTCAGACTGTACATTGAATCAGTAGCAATAAGACTCCCCAAGTTGTATGCTAAAGTACTGAGAAGTTGATAATCATCAACTCAGTAGAACAAATATATCAAAACTAACAAAATACAAGACTCAATATGCTCGAAAAATAAAAAAACAATATCCATTTAGGCAAGCCAAGTACAATGTAAAACAATATTATTGATGCAAGAATTTAAATGATTTGGCACAATAGGCAAGAAATTATAGTAAGATTTAATTTAAAACATCACTAAAGATTAATTGTAAATTTATCACTTAAAACTAACAAGAAAAAGAGATTATGATAATTTCTTCTCACAAGTGGAAGGAAAACTATTGTTTCGTCGTCATATCCCAACTACTTGGGAACAGCATCATAAATCCACTCTTTGCCATCCGATTTTTATTAGAGTTACATGAGTTAAAACTATCCATCATAAATCATTTTGAATAACTTTTTTCATGCAACTTTAAGTACCCTTTATCCTTATTCCCTTCCACTAACTTGGACTAATCTGATAGCATTTCTACCCTTCACCGTGCATGTCTGAACCACTTAAAATTGTTTTTAATCAACGTATTTTCAAAAAGACGTCACCCCCACATTTTCTCTAAGTTGTATGCTAAAGCAATGAGAAGTTAATTATCAGCTCAGTAGAGCAAATATATCAAAAGGCAAAAAACGACTCTATGCTAGAAAAACAAAATACAATATCCATTTAGGCAAGCCATGTACAATGTAAGACAATAACATGGATGCAAGCAACTATATGATTTGGCACGATAGGCAAGAAATTATAATAGGATTTAATTTACAACATCACTAAAGATTAGTTGTAAATTTATCACTAAAAACTAACAAGAAAAAGAAGGAATGATAATTTGTTCTCACACAAGAGGAAGGAAAACTATTGTTTCGTCATCATATTATCATCATTACCATTATCATTATCCCAACTACTTGGGATCAGCATCATAAATCCACACTTTGCCATCCGATTTTTATGAGAGTAGCATGAGTTAAAACTAATCACCAAAAATCATTTTGAATAACTTTCATTCATGCAACTTAAGTTGCCCTGTGTCCTTACCCCCTTACACTAATTTTATGGACTCAACTGATAGCATTTTCAACACTTCACTGTGCATGTCTGAACCACTTAAATTTGCTTTTTAACCAATGTATTTTCAAATAGACGTCACACCCAAATTTTCTCTAAAATAATCATTCCTTGATATATCCTCCCTAGTTTTGTCAAACTTTCATGTTAGTATTTTCAAATAATGTGGCAAAATGGTAGATATTAAAAACTTTTTTACAGTCCAATAATTTGATCCATATAATATTATTGGTCTAATCGTTGTTTAATAAAATTACCTTTAAAACTCCATGATATTCTCTTCACACAAAACTTCCAAAACACTTCTTCATGTTAATAATACCAGATTTATCTCTATATCTCCAATCTTGTCTATAATAGATCAATGATACTTAAACCTATCACATCTAGCTATAATATTCTCTACTAATAATATTAAATGATAATTTCTACCATCATACTCATCAAATTATAAGACAATTAAGGAGAGCAATTTCTTCACGAGTGCTGAAGTTTTCAGGAGAGACCTTTATTTTTAGATCTTCCTGAGGTAAATTTGGGAACATGTCTCAGTTAAAAAAGAGCAAATTATAAACCATCACTTGTTTGTAAAACCAGATAATGTCAGCACATTAATTATGGCAATTACTAAGATAATAACCAAGACTGAAAACTAAACAATAAAAGCTTTCAAACCATAGAAAAAAATTCTTCGGTAAAATCTGAACAGCGAATTCATCAACTTCGAAAGATGCTACTTATACTGCTGCTTTGTGCTGGCAGCTTATCCTGGATGGAAGTCAATTTGAAGCAAAAATAAATCAATAGCAAAATATTAGAACGAGCTTTAATCTCATAGGAAATGAAATATGCTCAAGACATACTATCAAGCATTAGAAAGAAGCCAAAGAAGTATAGTTTTGTGCTGGAAGCTAAGAATTCCTAAACAAGAGGCTCATGAAAAAATAACAACAACAACAACAACAACAACAACAATAAAGCCTTAATCCCACTACGTGGGTCGGCTACATGAATCCTTTTTCTCCATTGCGTCCTATTTAGTGTCATATTTTCATTTAGTTCTAGTAAATTAAGATCATTTTTAATACAATAAGCCCAAGTCTTCCTAGGTCTACCTCTGCCTTTCTTAACACAAGTCGAATTTAAAACATCTACTCTCCTAATCGGATCATCTAATGGTCGACGTTTAATATGACCAAACCATCTAAGGCGACTTTCTCTAATTTTGTCTGTCACAGGAGCTACACCAACCCTATCACGAATATATTCATTCCGCATTTTGTCTCTAAGTGTAAAGCCACTCATCCACCTAATCATTCTCATCTCGGCAACACTTAACTTATTATTATGCTTCTCTTTTAAAGGCCAACATTCAGCCCCATAGAGCATTGCAGGTCTCACCACCATCTTATAAAATTTTCCTTTCAGTCTTAGCGGTACTTTTCTATCACACAAAAGGCCCGAAGCATTCCTCCACTTCAACCAACCAACTTGAATTCTACTATTAACACCCCCATCTATATCACCATCGCTTTGAACAACGGACCCAAGAATCTAAATCGTTCACACCTTTTAATAATTTGATCAAACCAACTTATTAAACCAAATAACAATGAAAAAATAAATATTATTACCAACTTCCAATAGAAAATTACAACAAACAAACATAAATCTGAAATTGCAACAAACAACAACACAAATTCACCCTAGGATTAGATCCAGAGGTGGTAGTGGTCAGCAAAGTGAATTGGTAGGGACAGCAGGCTGCTGAAAGAGCAGAAAAACAGCAAGCTTGTTGTTTTCTAGATGATGGCAGCGAAGGAAAGGGGGTGGCAAAGGTAGGGATGGCTGGAACAGCAGGAACCCACAAAAAGAAGAGAGTTTGTGTAGTGGCAGCAAAGTTGGATGACTAGATAGTAGCAAGAAACAACAGTTGTTATTTGGACGGCAGCAGCAAGATAGGAGGGATTGAATAGTAGGAAATCAGCAAGGGGATGTGGTTTTGGGTGGTGGCAGCAATGGAGGGAAGCAAAGGAGGGAATCGGGAAGGATGGGGAAAGGTAGAGAAAGGATAAATCACTATTTCAAGAGCGAGATATAGCGGGAGCACTACTCAGACCCTTCAAAACAGCCTTAGAAGGTTAAACCAAAGAAGTCGGCAGCTGTCTCAAACAAACACACGCAAAAACTAACTTTAATACATTATGAAAGCAAATTTATAATAATAGAATAACTAGGGGTGGGCCGAAGGGACTGGACGTCACTCCACACTAAGGAAAAGTCTAGATGAACCACTCCAGACAAGCAGGCCCTCCGCCCGCTTTCAAACACGGAAAGCATTCCGCCTGCTTTCAAACGCCCCGCGTCAACACACTGCTGCCCTAATTTCCCCTTCATTTTTGCTCGTTCATGTTCCGCTGGCCCCTTCTTCTCTACTTACCGCATGAGTCCACGCTTCGTCTCCTCCTAATAAATTTAGCATTACAAAAAGGATAAAATGTAAAATCTGGCGATAGCTTAAGCCATAATAGTTAAATCATTGTCTGCATCAAAATTTTGATGTCCTTAATTTTCATAAAATTTACTATCATGCACCCTATAAAATCTAAATTGATTATTCCTACCATAATGATTGTTGTGCTCATGAACATGTCAACATTAAAATAAATGGTTTCATAATATTATGATTAGATTCAACTTATGCGTCATGTGCATGAAATTAATTATTTTCCAAGCTCCAATTCACTACCTAGCATAATTGATATCACTCAATTTTGTTTATTTACAAGTTGAGCCATTTGATTTTACAAAGTAGTCAAAATCTCATCCTTTCAACGAACTGTAATTGGCCATACCCATTTCAAATTGCCGCAATAATAAAAATTTAAAGTCTACCCGATATAACGTAAGAAATCAAAAGATCTAGGTTTTTAAATGCAATTCAATGATTTTATGAACGAACATCGAGAAATTAATGTTGACTTCACAATTTAAAGACAACCCATTAAAGTATAATTTGTTTTCTTTTGATGCAAATCAGAATTTACATCGACGATCTCTTCTTCTCATAAGAAAATAATCAATTTGTGTTTTATTAGATCCACTCTTATAAGTAATAAGATGTTCATCCCTTTTCTTGAATAAAGTATTAGTAATAACAAAATCAAACGCTAAAGCAAAATCTAAAATAGTTTTACCTTCTTCATTAGTTACTCCAAAACCGTAGCCACCATGAATATTTCTGAAATCTTCTACCACTCTACCGACATGTCCATTTAAATCTCCTCCAATAAAAATTCTTTCTTCAAGAGGTATCGTTTGTATTAAGTCTTCTAAGTCATTCCAAAATTTATCTTTAGACTCTGTATCTAAACCTACTTGAGGAGCATAAACACTTATAATATTAAAAATCTTAGTATCAATGATAATCTTAAGGGCTATAATTTTATCACCAACTCTATTAATTTTAACAACATTATTTTTTAAACTCTTATCTATAATTACACCTACACCATTTCTAGTGCGACTCTTACCAGAATACCAAAGTTTAAAACCTAAATTATCAATCTCCTTAGCCTTTTCTCCAACCCACTTAGTTTCTTGAATACATAAGATATTAATTTTCCTATGAATCATAATATCAACTAATTCCATTAATTTACCATTGAGAGTGCCTATATTCCAAGATCCTATCCTAATATTAGTTTCATGAAAAAATAAATCAACGAAAAATTGAGCTTAGTATTTTTCCATAATCTTAAATTAAAAATAATTAAGAAACTCAATTTTTAGAATAACATGCACATGAAATGGCATGACTCAATTGAAGGTTAGTATGTGTGGTTCTTAAACAATGGAGTCTGATTCAAAAGTTCAGCCCTGTTTTGTCACACAAAAACTTGACAATTTTCTTGAACAAATCCACTGAATTGACTTCAGCTATAGATTAATATGAAATACACTTAAAAAATTGATACAACATGGATAAATGTTATGTATTGTTCCAAAAGTATAACGTCGAACAAACTAGAACCAATGTAACATATCAACTTCTAAGGGTCATCGAACATGGTTAGATTATATTTCAAGTGTATTATTTGTTAAATGGCATGTTTCCTTGTAAACATTAACAATTTGATTATAAATTGTCGGGGCAAGGATAAAATAAATGGAAACAATTGGACCCAAAAAGCTACCACTCTAAGAAGATTTGGTCTAAAAAGCCCATTTATATTCATATATTTATTTTTCTCATTGCCTATTAATGGTCTTCTTGTACAATGTCTTTGTATTTTAAGAATTTCCTAGGACTTTGAAAGAATCAACAATCATGATTTTTTCCTTTAATGCTATTTACTAAAGAACGGCGTATTACTTATACATATGATCCCTTTATATGTAACGTGATATAATGACCCACTTTAGAATGTCAATCAATTGTGCCTGATCAATTCTTCTCTGCGTCCCCGAGTGATGAGGAACAGAGAAGAATTAATACAAATTAAAGAAACAAATAGATAAGAATTTTCTGCAAACTGAAACAAAAATATACCTTGATATAGGGGCAGCCGATTTATTTTCTTCGGTAGTAACCTTATTTTCGGTCCCCAGAGGCATAAGAGACAAAGAAGATACGGAATCTTTTCCCCCACCTCCGCTGATTCCATTTTCCTTCCCCAAGCCAATGTTCCTTCTACTATCTAAATCTGCCAAGAGATAACAACAGCATAGAGCCTGAGATATTATATTGTAAGGCAAGAAAACAAGTTTTTGCCTCAATAAATAGCTAAGCAGCATCTAGCAATGACCTAGTGAGTTTCTCATTGCTAATGAAAAATAACATAGAACAATATAGCACAGATAATGTCCTTTTACCATTCAATCTATATTCTCTACCACCAAAAATCAATTAACAATTTAAGAAAAAAAGAAAAGTTTTTACATACATACTATTCAATTCCTACGTATCTAACACCCAAGCTTCAATTTTTCATACATAACCCCTTAACTATGCATGAAAAGGTGCATGTCACTTTTTAAAAGTTAAAATCGTGGTATTTTTGAGGTGATATGAATGATTTGGGAGGTATAAATGTAAAAGGTAAAGTTAGACGTTAGATATGTAAATACATATGAATTAGGTGGTAAGCATTTAAATGCCCTTATCAGAAGTTTTTGTTACAGAGCATGGCTGACATCAGAAAGCGGAGCTGGCCAAAAACAGTGTACTCACAGTACACAAAAAAAAAAAAGAAAAAACAATCCTTGGTTGATGATTATTAACGAAATGGACAACATGGCACAAGAAGTGATTGTCAATATCTTTCAAAAGTAAACAAAAGGAATTTATAATCAAAACATTACTGAAAAACCTATCGACATCAAACCAAAGGAGTACCATGAGATGTATAACGAGGAGCATAGTTTCCTCGTGTGTCCCTACCCCCCCGCCCCTGTGATGCTGGCCTCCACCTTGTCTCAGAAGCTTCTCTATTGCTCTGTAGATAAATAGATGACAAGCATCAGTGGCCTACTCTACGGAAGAAAAACACCAGCAAAAATAATTCAAAAATTAAAACTAAACTAAGACAAAGATGGTACATGAACCTTAGTTTATAATTCCATTTTGTCAAAGATGTTACCATTTAAAGAGAAAATGGTTCAAAAACTGACTAACTGCTGTCATCAATGTTGAATAGAAAAGAATCCAATCTTCCTATTCCATGAATAGTATAAATAAAAAAAACATTGTAGGCAGCCAAGAATCATTAGGTATGATTTTAGAAGGCATACCATTTTTCTGAGTACTTCACATCCCTGTCACAAGAAAATTATATTTTTAATTGTTTTGGTTCCATAGAATGTTAAATGGTTTTCTGATCAATCTTTAATAATTAATCTCTTGGTTCAAAATTTGCAACTTAAAGCTTAGTTATACCTTTCCAATTAATGGTTACAACTAGGGGTAAGTGACATGCATGTTTTGCTTAACTCGAATAAAGATATCAAGTATATGAATCACAAAACACTAGGCATACTTGTTGATTGGGATCACCACTTTGATTATGGTAATAGTCCGAGTTAATTTTTATATCTTATCCTTTGAAAAAATAGAACTGAATTGACTGCTCAGATACTCATATAATGCAATTGCATGTTTCTTTGCTCGTATTTAACTACAACATTAAACATTTTTTATTGGTAGCTGTAACTTAGGGTGCGTTTAAGGCGGCGATGCAGCGGCTTAGTGTCGCACTACAGTTTTTCCTATTTGAAAAACCTGTTTTTTTGTCTGTATACTAAAAAAAAATAAAGCTAAAAGCTACATTTTCCTACAATACATGACTACCAGCTAGAAAGTTGCGGTCTGACTCAAAAAAATATATATTATAATAATCACCGTAGCTTTTTGAACAACGGTTTCTTTTTTAGTAGCTTCATAACTGCTAACAGACCCTGAACCAAATTGTCCAGCTAGAAAGTTGCGGTCTGACTCAAAAAAATATATATTATAATAATCACCGTAGCTTTTTGAACAACGGTTTCTTTTTTAGTAGCTTCATAACTGCTAACAGACCCTGAACCAAATTGTCCAGCTAGAAAGTTGCGGCCGCCCTCCCCCCCCCCCCGCAACAACAAAAAAAGAAAGAAAAAACCTAACTATATTGTACGATTAACTGAAAAAAATATACCAACATTTCCTTGAATTGGGGAATGGGGTATGGCTTGAAAGTATTATCTAAAATCTTTCAAATAATGCAAGGAATAAGAGCTCTTACAGGTGACTGGCTCAAAATCTCGTATCTTTAAACATTCAAGTTTTCAGTAACTCTCACGTAGAAAGCATATAGATAAAATCTAAAATAAAGAAAATCTAAAGAGAAAAATGGAGTTAGCCTTTTAAGTTTTATACGTCAACAAAAAAAATGGCACAAATCTCAACGTATTTTGGATGAGATAACTTTAAGAGTCAAATTTAAGATCATCCAAGCTCCAATTTCAACAAATTTATAGTCGAATTGAACATCTTAATACAGTAAATTCAACAATGTAAAACTGGTCTAATTTGAGTCCAAATAACTATAAATTAAGCATGTAAAGTATGGTTGAAATTTTTGGAAAATTAATTGAAGAATCAAGCATTTTATTGAGTATGTCAACAAGAGAACTTCAACAACACTCAATCTTGAGATCATTAATACACTTAAATGCTAAAAGACTAGTATACAATCAAAACAATAAGTATGACGTATCAATGGAGTTTTGAAATTTTTATTGAATTTATTAAAATGGGGATCAATTCTCTACCCGCATGTGACCTAAGCTTAGAGTTTAAAGAGATCATGGAGATAAAAAGAATTCTAAAGCTTTGCTCAACTATCGTCATCCAAACACCATCATCCACCCATTATTGTTCGATCTTTATTACTTGGTCATCGTTGCCAGACCACCATTGTCAGACCCCCACCATTCAAACATCATTATTTGATAATCACACATCACCAATTAACATTGTTAGAACATCGCCTTTTGAATGTCATCAATTGACCACTGCCATGTAGCCATCTTCACTCTACACTATTTCAATCTATGAAGTACAAACATGGACACGAGGACAAAGACACGACAAGATACAGCGACACGATATAATTGTAAAAAATTGTTCATGATACGACATGTACAAGTTTTTTTATATTTAATAAATTATTAATATAAATATATATTTTTAATATTTTCTACTAAAGACGTCACAAAATAACAAATGCAATCATTAAGGAAACTTTATAATTATAAATGTTGTTTTTAGCAATATCAAAACATTCAAAATATCAAAAAACCACCAAAGCATTTAATACCAATATCATCCATAATAAAATGAAGCAAAATATAGCAAAATATAAAAACAAAATCATTAATAATTGGAGTTAATGCATTCAACTACATAAAAGAATATATCACATAGATGAACATGTTAGAAAAGAATATCTATGAAGAATCTCATGAACACATCTTAGGTTGTCAATTTAGCACATTTAGCACACCCATAAGCATTTTTCGTGATTTGTTCCTAAATGAAATGTTAATTTATTTATATAATTTTATATTTTTATATAACTTATAAGATAATGGGGCATTTACATACATAGCACACAATTCTTCTATATTTACACATCTCACACACAAATCTTCATATTTCTTTGCATAATACTCAATTCTTTCTAATCACATCAAAATTAACACTAATTATCATTGTTCAAAAATCAAATCCACATTTTCATACATAAATAAAGTGATATACTGGTAAATATCAAAATTTGGGTGTCAGATATATAAATATATAAGAATTTCATGCATATAAATTTCTCAATCTTCAACTAAAAACTCCACAAAAATTGAAAAAAAAAATAGCAGTGACAATTAATAGGAGGCGAAGGTCTAAACAATCAATTTCTAAACTTGCACACTGAGACTAGGACTTTGGATCGCGTCGAAGATCACATTGAAGCTCTGGATCGTGCTCTAGATCGTACTATGGTTCGCGTCAAAGCTCTGGATCGTTGTTATTTATTGGTTGTATTGCAGTAATACTTCAACAATATTTTGGTAATATTCAACGCAAACTAAAGAAAGAATAAAGAAAAATTCTCAAAATATTTGAAATCCCACGGAGCTTATTCCAATGTTATTTAATTATTGGTCGTTATTTTGTCAATACCTCACCTCGAAAATAGTTTAATCAAACCGCAATATTTAGACAATATTTGTGTTCAAATGAATGAAAACAGCTTAATAATATAAATACATCCTCGGAACAACCCAAATACGACCGCGGAGAGGTGAATATAACAAAGGAATATTTCAATCAAACCAAGATATATCCATCCGCCAGCGCTGTTATATATTGGTTGTATTGCGGCAATACTTCAGAAATATTTTGGTATTATTCAACGCAAACTAAAGAAAAATTCTCAAAATATTTGAAATCCCACGGACCTTATTTCAATGTTATTTAATTATTGGCAGATGTTATATATTACTCGTGTTAGAAATATATACTCGGAACAATCCAGATACGACCGCGGAGTGGTAAATATAACAAAGAAATATTCCAATCAAACTAAGATATATTCTTCCGTCAGCGCTGCTATATATTTTGGTTGTACTGTGGTAATACTTCTGGAATATTTTGGTAATACTCAACGCAAACTTAAACAAATATTTTATTCATAAAATCGTTTAAAGCAAATTATCAAACAATATTAACACTGCAAAAAATACATTAATTCCACAATTACAAATTTCAATTACTTGATATTTCACACATCATCATCTAGGTCCATCAATAAGCCGTGTATGTGTCTCTGGGCAGTGATGCAGGCAATTCCTGCTGATTTTGAGCAATCACATGTGAATATAAGTACATATGTCAATTCAAAATTAGTTCACAAATCATAAAACGTTTTGAATTTTAAGTTATGTACCTGACTATACTGATCCGACATTGAAAATAGGCTTGGGTTTGATGGGTGAAATGTTTCTTGACTTGAATCAACTTCTTTATCCTTTCCTGTAAAACAATGTGTCATGTTAGTGAGTTGTAACACAACATACAACTAAAATAATAGAAGAATATAATCTAATTAATATTATAGTGATTTTTCAATCTTACTTTTTGATCGGTTATTCTTCTCCCAAAAGCCTTTTAACCTAGCATTAGAAACTCATTTTGACCGGATCTTCGTTGTGTCCTTCAAATTGTGTGGTTTATTCGTTGTCTTTTTCTTCTTTGACATTAGCATTTCCTGATGGTCTCTCTCATTCAATATGACTTCAGATTCGAGTGTGAGTTTTTTTAATCTTTCCAGCACATTTTTTTCAGCAAGTTCATTACCTTGTGTTAATATGTTGAATATGAATATGTTGATCCGGTATGCAAATTTATGAACGTGTGTTCGATATATGAGTCCACTCGAACAAGTTGCAGAAGTTTGCAAATCTTTCAAATGTTTATAACCATAGTTGTTATGTATATCCCTCTTTGCATGAACCAACCACCGTAATTAAATAAATTTATCAGAAATTTTTGTTATATTCTCATGGTTAAGCACCCTTAGAGTGTGAGCACATAATATACCCATCATTTTAAATTTTTTACAACTGCATATAATTTCAGAATTACATTTATCGACCTTAACAAATCTACGGTCTGACTGTGTGCTCATTATCTAAGTTTCTCATTATCTAAGTTTCTAACATAAAATTCTGAATCTCCGGTGTTTGAGCACTTCACAGCAAGTCCACACAAACCATGTAACAACTCTGCTTCAAATATTGAATATAACTTTCTCGTATAAACTAAAACACCTTGCCTCAACACAGGACTACTTTTTACAGCGGGAAAAATTGCAGACTGTTCAGATTTAAAATCTTCATCCTTCCCATTTCTTCTCCAAGCTTTCATGACATTTTCAAGACCCAAGAAACTCTCAGTGAAGGGGCTTGTTGGTTTGGAGGCATTATGACAAATGTTATTCGTCGACTCACTTCTTTGTGTTGAAAAAATCTCCATCCCAAATATTTCCTTATTGAAAGCTGTTGACCACTTATGCCTGATATTGTACAAACTACTCAACCAAGCATTCTTATATAGATTTCCTATCTCAATCATTGTATGTCAAGTTTCTTCAAACTCCTCGGAGTTACACCTAGCCATGCATTTATAAAAAAACTCATTGACTTTCTTGGTGTTTACACCACAATGTAGTTTTGAAGACAATCTCTTGTAAATATGTCATTGGCATAATCTATGTCTTGTGTGCAGATGACACACTTCAATGGCTCTGGTCATTGCTTGATCCTGATCAGTGAATATTGTCATCAGGTACTTGTTGTCCATAATCCGGATAAATGATTTGAATAGCCACTTGAATGATTCAACTGTTTCATCTGACAAAAAGCCAACTCCAAATAGAACGTTCTGTCAGTAGTGGTTCACACCGACAATAAGAGCACAACATAAATTGCATTTATTTAATCTATAACTTGTGTCAAAAATTATGACATTCCCAAAGCAATTGTAATCAAGTCTGGATATCCCATCACTCCAAAAGAAATTCAATAAACTACCAGACTCATCAATTTGGACATCTCATGCAAACATCGTATCATCTGCTTGCCTCTCAGTGAACAATCTAAGTAGAGAATTAGCGTCCCTATTTTCAATCTTACCCTTTTTTTCTCTCTTTGTATGAAATTATAAGCATCCCTCTACATACAATTAAGATTTTCAACACCCCCAAATTCTGTAGCCAGAAAACTAAAGGCATCGTTTGTTCTGATCCCTGATTTTGTCATCGATCTGAGCACTTGTGCACTGACATCACTCATTTTTCTGCTGTAACGCAATAGATGTTTGTCATCGTCTGCCGCCAAAATATGGTTATGACTTTCTATAAATTTCTTAACCGACCAGTTACCTTCTACATCGACGACATATCAGATCATGGTTGGACAACCAGTCCTTGTGTCCGCTTTTCTGTACTTCACCCCCACATTGTTATTCAATTATTTCTTGAAACCAGCCTTACCACAAATGAAATCCTTTGTCTTAATCATTTTTGAATTAGGCCAAAAATCAATGTGGTCCTTTCGCACAGTGAATCCAATATGGTGTGCATATGCACAATAATTTTCGTAGGCTTCCTTCTCATTATGAACCACCGCGCGAAGCAAACTATCCGCATTTGGATCAATGCACATAGTCAAAGGCTCGGGGAGCTGCAACTTTCAAACATTCCACCATTAAATTAACAAAAGAACACTTCAACTTCAACGAAACCAATTAATAAATACAATCATGCTGGTACGAAACGATAAATCAATAACAACACAATACATAATTCAATCATAATACCACATAAATAATATCACAATAACACAAAAGTATACTTCAAAGCCAAAAATGTAAAAATACTAGCATAATAAAACCATGATAACACCAAAATAACACTACTTACACCGAATATAAAACTCCAGTAAAATCATTAATTAGATACAACAATAAATAACACCATGATACATAATACAACCATAATACTACAGCAATAATACCATAATAACACAAAGATTCTTGAAAGCTTAAAATGCAGAAATACTACCATAATACAACCATAATAAAACCAGAATAAACCTATGATAAAACCTAAATAAGACCCAACTACCATAAGCAAAAAAAAAAGACAATAAAAACCACAATAATATCGGAAGAATAATACCATTAGTACAACTTAAACACAATGATAATACTTACAAAGTAATTTAGCAATCAAATAATATAGTAATCACACCATTCGAGCCTTGCAATACTATCATTTGGAAGTCATTAATAGCACCACCCTGAACAAAGAATTATATTATCTGCGGAATGCTTCCGGCCGCAGCTAATGATCCAAGCTGATTGACATCATTCTCGCAATCGTTTTGAGATTCCATCAACATTTCTTGGTCGACAGAGAATTCATTTAACAGACCCTGCCCTAGCTCTTGAATACGAACAGAGACGAAAAAATAAAAAAAATCTACATCCATAAACCGGAAAAAAGCACCAATATTCTTTTTTTTCTATTTGACGAGATAAAAAACGTCTGGCGAGATCGAAAATGTTGAAATTCTGTATATGGCGGGATTTGATAGATCCAAATATACGTTTTTTCGATTATTGGGCGGGGTTCGGGCTGGGTCACGCCTTCTTTGCATATTTATCTTCGCTGAGGGCCCACCGTTACACGCGTACCCTTTTCATTCGCTACCGCATGTAGAGCACATGCGGTCGTCGGACAGAATAATTTCCCCTTGCAAAGAGGCCTTTCTATGTGGCATAAAATCCATTTGTGCACCTATAAATTCTTTGATTAGAATCAATAAATTTTTTAAGCTTATAGTTTATAAAGCATCTGATTGATTACGAGATACTTGAACCAAGACTTTAGCTTCCTAAGTAATAGGATGACCAAACTTATCATGTAGCACCATTATTATTATTGTAATTACTATTAGTATCACTATTATTATTATTATTATTATTATTATTGTTGTTGTTGTGGTGGTGGTGGTATTATTATAATTATAATAGAGAGAGAAATCAACATGTTTGATTGAGCAAAATAAAATCATATGTTGTAAAGCAATAGAAAAAAGCTAAATAGTTTTTTAATCATAGCAAAGTAGTATATTTAACATTTTATCAGTAAACTCATATTTCCAGAAAGAAAAAAATGTTTCTTATGGACCATTACGTTTGGCTTCTCATTACACAGCATTCCAATAAAGCTCATAACTCTTACAAGAATATAGTTAACAACCGTTGGAAAGCAGAAGACAGTGCATCATTTTCAGTGGTGCAAACATATAATATTTTTTCGTTAGCTCGCTAAAAAAAGTAGCAGAATGCTGATGCACCATAAATTCACAAAACTTCTTGTAGTTATTTGAAAACCAAGCTAAATGATTCCTTCAGTACAAAAAGAAAATAAAATTGACCTGAATAAAAAAATAAGAAAAAAAAATGAAGAATGAGAAAACGTTTTTATTAGTGCAGTGAATAAAATGTTAAATTTCAAAGAAAGAACATGAACATCAGAAAAAAGGCTAATCAGCCCCAAAACTATAGGTATTGAAAGGAAATAAAGAATAGTGCACAAAATTGTAGTTCGTAAATCAGTACTCTTCAAACCTTTACTTTGCTATCAAGCTTACAGAACTTAATTAGCAAATGAAGGACCAGAAACAATGAGTGATGAGCGAGATTTACCTCTTTTCGCTTTTCACGCTTTCTCTTGACCTCATGAAAGGTATCTACAAAATCAAATTTATTTTCATCATCTACCCTCTAAAAAGTACTGTAAGATTAATAGAAACATAAAACAAACATAATGTTTCACAAATATTCCAAGTAATTTTCCCAAATGGAAAATGCTCCAGTATACATAAACTTTGAATTTCAAAAAATTAATAAAATTAGCATTCTAGAATGAAAACATTTGCAAGAACACAAACAGCTTGGAGAGGAAAGAATCAAAATGGTCTAAATGAATCATGATGCCCCAAGTTCAAACAAAGGAAGCAGACATATCCGATGAGAGATTTTGGTTTTTTTTTTTTTTTTTTACTATCAGATAAGAGATAAATATTTAAAAGTCTATATTGAGATTACCGTGAAACAAATCTCATTACAGATGGAACAAAGCAAGCTCCGAGAGAACTGTGCATCATGAAGCAAGCAAAACCATTCAAATAACAGTATTCAAATTCCCAGGTATGACCATAAACAAACAAATTTTTTTAGGAAAGAAAATCAGATTCAATGAGAGACAGAAAATATGAGGTACTGCAATTATACAGACATGAACTAACAGATACGTCCAGCCAATCCTGCTCATGTTACCGATATGAGAAAAACCATAACTTCACAGTGAACGCAGCATTGAAACAAACAGATACATCCTAAGAGAATCGACAACAAAGCTAGCTTACTGTAACGATTATATAAAAAGGAAGCAGCAGAAGAAATCCCTACGAAAGGGCCTAGCACAACACTAAAGAACAGGAGTCATCCTTCAGTTAGTAAGAATTGTGTGCGTAAAGTATCGACAATACATAAGTCCTTAAGAAAACTAAAAAGGGTAAGAAAACAATATAGCAGCAATAAAGTAAACAGAAATACCCAAATCCAAATTTGACAAGGAAAAACAGCACGGAAAGTAGAACAAACACTGAAAAACGAACAAATATCTCAAAACCAATCCAAAAAAGACGAATTTAAAACGAACAAATATCTCAAAACCAATCCAAAAAAGATGAATTTGATTTTCTAATCACAGTATCCATCCAAGAAAACCATCTAGCCATCATTACATCGAATCCCGGAATCGTGGTTACCATCCGACAGGTCAACAAGTACAAAAGTGACAGAAACAGATGAAAATTAGCAAAAAGAAAAATTAAAAAAAATAGCTCAAATACCTTGGAAGAGGAGCTTATGAACGGTCTCGTTGGGATCCATGGAGCATTCCTTAAGCATTGCGTATATCTCCTCGTCGCTGTGATTCCCCGCGATCTCCTTAATGTTCTGGATCGTCTTCTTCATGCTGTTGGGAATGGAAACCCTAGAAGCGCCGCTCATCTTGAGGCAGCCAACGAGACGGCCGAGGGGGGTAGGGTGCTGGAAGATTTACAGGCCAAAAATATGGGAGATTTCGTGGGTTTGAATTTTTTATGAGAGAGAATGACAAAGGGGGCGGATGTGGACGACAAGCAGCATAACCTTGAAAAAGTATATACTTCAGCGCTAAGGGCAAGGGTCTGATCCTAAAAATAATTAAACTTTAATTAGGAATTATAAATAAAAAAAAATATTGGGATATTGCCAAATCGAAAGCCTTTTTAACAGTCATATAGAATCTGATCTTATTTAGTTAGATGACTCCTAATTTGATGGTTTTTAGGTCAATCGGCGCCTGAGAGGGAAAAATTTTCAGTCTTTCACTATGAGTATGAAGCTCTACGTGCGGACTCTAATAATATACTGTCATATGTGTTATATCGAGCTCACTTTAAAAAATATTAAACTAGAATAACAGAGGTTATTGGAATGAAACAGTGAAGAATATTAGAGTGGAACTGAGGAGATTATTGGAGTGAAACTAGGAGATTATTGGGGGTATATTGGGATATTAACTCCAATAACGTAGTCATAACCCTCCGCAGTTTCACTCCAATAACCCTCGCAATAACCACTAACAATCTTCGCGGTTTCACTTTAATAACCACTGCAACACCCTAACCCTAATAACATTCGTGTTTCCACTTCAATAACCCCCTGCATTAACTTTTGCACTAACCCCCAATAAACTTCTCAGTTTTACTTCAATAACCTCCGCGGTATAGCACATGTAGCGGCATATTATTAGAAGTCCGCACGTAGAGCTGTGTCCGGACTCTGGATGTAAATTTTTTCTCTAATTAACTAACATCCATATCCTCCTATTGTTCGGCCTTGAAGAGGCTGGTTGGTCTTTGATAGGTCGGCCTCTTGATCGACATCTGGTTGATCGACATCGCTCAATCTCCATTGTTTCAGGCATCCCCACTTTATTTTTGTGAGATCCGTCTTTCGACACGTGTCTTATTCCGAATTGTTAAATTTATGGAAGATTCCATCTATATTATTTTGTTGTACAATCATAAATCCTAAAAGTTCAATTAAGATGTTTCGTATTTTCGTAAAAATTATTATAAGATTATTATGAGAAAACATTTTCAAAAAATATTTTGAGTGCTATAAATTTTCTTGATTTCAAAGAAATCAGATTTCAGCATCCTTAATTATTATATTATTATATATTCCCAATATTATACTTCGTAGAAGATCATCTAACCGTTAAAACTCAACTTTTTTTTCAGGACGGTCAGATTTCTTTTTCCTTGCTATTGTATGGTCAACTTCGTTAGCAATGAGTCATCCTTGTTCAGCCTTCCTCCCATAATTTTTTATAGGGTGAACTATCAATATTCAACTCTCAGGTTCTGGAAAGTTATGCTGAACATTAAATAAGAATAATGAAAAGTTCAATAGTTCAAACAGTAGTTAATTTAGAGTAGAATCATGATTATGTTAAGATAATTGAATTATTTAAATATTAACTAAATAGCATCATTAATAAAAATCAATATTGCTACTTATGATATATTGAAAATGAGCATGACATACTTTATATAAATTTCAATTTAAATTATTATATATTTAAGTTTCTATCCCTTTTTTTCTAATAGTCATAATTAAAACCAAATAAACTTTTGAAATCTTCTATTTATTTTGTTTCAAAAATATGACACTCCAAAAATAAATTTAAGAAAAAGTTTTGAGATTACAAGGCCACTATCACACTGAGAAATAAGCTAGTTTTTTCACTGGAGGAACATGACTCGATACGAGACAAAGGATTATTAGATTTAATGAGTTTGAAGTGCGGTAAAATAAAAAATCAGAAAGGGTAAATAACTGGAGGGTCTAGTATTTTTAAGAAAATTTTAAATAAAATTAGATTTTTAATTATTTTTTTAAAATTCTTTTTAAATTTCTAATTAAAATAAATATAACAATTTGATTATGAAATTAATTGAGTGGTTCATTCAAATAAGAATGAGATCAATAGTTCAATTGTTTGATCGTCGGTTCATTTTGTTTTTTTTTTTATTCTTGGTCAAAATGATTTAATAATGAATCAATCAAACTCATAAGTTAGATATAAATTTGTAAACTCATGTTCTACACTATTCATTGTTTTCCTAAATCAATAAGTACCACTAGTTAATAGCTTGTCCGCCCACCTTCCAAACCATCACAAAAGTACACTATCCATGCAAACACCACCACCACCATCACTCATTTTCTGGGCATTATTACTATATATGGGTCATATGTCATATCACAATAGAAGTTATGATGTATCAATTATGTAATTCATATTATTTATTCTTTTATCAAGACCCCTCAAGTTAATTGAAAACTTGATGAAAGATGTCAAACTATTGGCCCTCAGATTTAACTACAACTATCATGCTCACACCTTCAAGTGGCTATATTGGCAAAGATCATCTGAATTGGTAGAGAACAACACAACAATGTTATGAGTTATGTAGCTGACATAGAAGATTAGACTCATATTATAGTTGACAATTTATCTTATCAAATATGTTTTTATTATTTAATCACATTTGTGATTTCCTTCGTTCCACCACTAAATATCGTGTAGGAGGATCCTAATGCACATTATTAGTGATTTTCATAATGCACATGATGTTAATCTTTGCCAATGCCCTTTCCCCTTTGATCCTCTATCAATAAGATAACAATCGCTTAGAAGGCATAGCTTATCATCATCATCCTCTCATTAATTATGCAATTGATGGAAATCCATCATGATCTAAATTCTAGAAAATCGCCGTCCTATTAAGTTTAAAATGCCTACACTTAATTAATGTAAGTGGTTGAGCAACTCTATGGAGCACCTAATGAATCTTCCTAATGTGATGCTCCTGACACTAGCCATTGAAAATCTTTAATGTTGAGTGTTTGCCATAAAAATGTTGTGCATAATGGTTTATCAAATTGGAGCTAGGAAGCAACAAATAATCAAACAAGTTTTGCTGACATTTTATCATTTGATTTGTCAATTTAAAGTAGTGCCCCTAAAGTCAACATAATCTCCCTATAATGTATAAAAGGGGAACCAAAAGCAACAAGCTATACACAATAAAGAACTAATACCCACTCTCAATAATGGAAAACTATCACGGCCCCACCCAATGCAACTCGTTGCACTAAGTTGTCACTTAATCTCAAGATCACAATAATTGGTTAATCACTAAAAAATTAATCTATAAGTTTTTCTTTTAAAACTCGTAAATATGGAGCAATTTTTATATTATCAAATATGTAATAATTTAAGCATAATTATATTTTCATTCTTATCATTGGACTAAATGACAAAAAATAATACATACAATAAGCATGATACATTCTCTTCATCAACAATATATATATA